TCAATCTTTATACATTTAATTAAAGGTACTGCCTTTGGGCAGGCGCGATAGGGTGCTAACACCTTCCTTACGCGTAACCGATTCCCGAACCTGAAAATCTCTTTTCGCAGACCGTGTCTTATTTTTTGGTTTTCCATAGTTTTTCCATAATAAATTATGGTGGCGACTCCACAAATCTATTTCTCAAACCCGTTTGTTTTTCGGGTCGCCGTCCCGTCGCGATCCCGGTTGCGACAGTTAGGGTTGTTCTTCTTTGCTCTATGCTTGTTATGTTTAACTCATTCATGACATGATTATTTGTTTTCGTGATATGGACACATGGGAAAACGTAAATCTGGAGAATTTCTCCCAAAAGTAGTATTGCCTAGACATTGGGATATGAGTTTTGGTTATCTTAAGCTTGTAATCGTAATGCAGAATTAATTATTAGGGAAACAAGACATTGTGAACTAGCAATTAAGGATAGGCTATCTTCGCCGAGACATCGGGTTTTAAGTAATTTAGAAAGTGATATTAACATTAATGAAGAAGATGAATTCATATATGCATGAGAGTAAACTAGGTGAAATCTAAACCCCAATAACATATCCATCTCATATTTTCAATATCACCCATTCATCTTTGAGTTTTTCTTCAATTGATCAAAAGTGCATTCATGTTTATTTTTATTGTATTTGCATTCAAAACCCTAAAATTGTTCTTCAAAGTCTTAATTAGTTAAGTAATTACATGAGTGTTTAGTGTCGTGAGTCTCTTGGGAAACGATGCTTGGTCTTACCAATTATCATTACTTGATATGATTCGGTACACTTGCCGAGGTCTTAACAACTAGATGTAGGCATTGAGGTCGAACCAGTATAAAATGAGTTTGATTTTCTCTCCTCTATCTCTTTACAGTTTCATTATCATTGCATATACAAGTACTATTTCATTGGACACATATTTGCGTACTGCACAAGAAAGATTCCAAGAACCTTTTAGTTTGCGAAAAAGATTTAAAAAATGCAAGTTTTTATAAAACACCAATTCAGCCCCTTCTTGGTATTGAGAAACAAAGTGCATCAATTCTAACATATGACCATTATAGTAATTATGACAAGCATGAAATCAATTTTCAAAGCTTAACAGACTTAATTGAATACACAACACATGTAATCGATTAAGCTTAACACTTAAACATATTTTGAAAACTTTTTCTTCCAAAAAACTCATCACAACACATTTGAAAAAGATATTTGCAAACACATGAGTTTTAATCGATTTAACAACTAATGTAATCGATTCAAACTAGTTGTTTTGCCACAATTCAAAACATAAGTTGTCTGATGACCTTAATTGATTACTACAACACTGTAATCGATTATGTCATGTATATATGCTTTTGTGCTTATGGTTTTCAATACACATTAACATATTGTGTGCATACACATATATACTCATATCATACACATAGTCGTATGCATAAATCACATGGTATGTCCAACATATGCATTTGTCATAGAATATACATTTATCACAGTAAGCATGTACAAATTCACATATGTATAACACAACACAGAAACATTTTTCTGTTGTGACATTTACAACATTCATGTGTTGTCTTATTAATGTGTTGTCATCATAAAAAACAACATAACAAGGATTGGGTTCAACTATCACATTGCTCTCGTTATCAACAACGAGCAATTATAAGAATTTTCAAGCAAGTTTTTTACAGTTGTGCATTCATTAAATGCATAATCGATTACCTCATTTAGATAATCGATTATCATACGTTAAATAACTAACAACAGGATTTCAGAGGTATCCATGAGTGAGATCTCTATAAATTAGATTGGGACTCTCATTCTAATATACGAAATATGTGAATTTCGAAAGGCTTATATGTTTTGTTGTATGCTGTGATAAGTGTGTTCTAGGGTTTGTGTAACCCTTGTGCTTGTGGATTAGAGAACTTGGTGTTGGCATATAGTGATAACTTTCACGGGAGTTGTGATTGAGTGTTGTTGTTCTTGCTTAGTTAAAGCCTGTCATCCTTTCTAAAGATTCAAAGGATGTGTTCATCCCTTATTGCTTTCAGGGGAAGTGAGTTTCATCTCTTGGGATAACAAGATAAGTGTTCTAACCTTAAACTTGTTTATTTTCTTTGTGATTGTAACACTATGTTGGTGTGTGATAGTGTATCATTAATTCTCATTTGAGATTAACAACTAGATGTAGGATCTCTATAATCTAAACTAGTATAAAAATCACATGTTGAATTTTCTCTCTTCCTTATTCTCTTATTTGTTTTAATTTATCGTTAAGGAACTTAATTTAAAAGAGAAACTATTTAAAGGCACGATTTGCGATAAGAAACCAATTCAGCCCCGCTCTTGGTTTGTTGTTCACGCTAACCATTTTGTTACACCACTCTGACAAAGGTTGTTAAGACAAGATCATCTAAAGAGAATATATTATCTAGCATCTCAAAGTTTTTTAGTTTAACAAATAACATTTAACGAAATATTTATTAAATTTGAATAGCGTCTAGACGTGGTGCACATCAGAACACTCTTACTAAATTCTTATAAGATAGACCATGAAGTGTCAAGTATAAAAGAATTAAACAAACATTTGATAAAAGCGCGTCCAATGAAGGAAGTCATAAATGTTATATCTTATTAGTTGTGACTACTTGAAAACAATCATACTTGCATTAAACCCTTATTATACTAAACATGTTTCAATACTATATCAATGTATAGATCATTAAATGCATGTACATATTGTACCTTGTCTTCTCTGCTTTTTCCTTCTTTATCTGTGTAGATATTGACAACACCATGATAAACTTAAAAGCATTGATGAGGACCAGAAAGACATTGTGAGATAGAAAGGCATTCTTGAAATGTTTCCTAAAGCTTTATCCTACCTTTGTCGTACAAGCTCTAACTATGAAAGCAATGTTCTTACCAAGGCGTAGAAAAGTACATATATTTGTACGAGAAAGCCAACTACTTTCAACAAATTCAACTATCTCTAAGTAACGGTCATCTATAAAAGAAAGCTATAAAAGGAGGACTTGCATAAGAGAAAATAAGAAGTTTTGTTATCATTGTATCGTTATGCTGTTATTCTCGCAATAGGAAAAACGAAAGAACTTCACAAGTTCTCAAAATTCTATGTATTGTATTTATCCTCTCACTAAGAGTTATCAGAATTTGTACTTGTAAACGAACACTGATTGTGTTTAGATATTCTAAAGAGGACTAAAATACTTATATTGTTTAGCTCAGGAGAGTTAAACTTTTTAGAAGAGGAGTACAAAAACTTACTCACCTTTGAAGGAGGTAAGGAGATGTGGGACACTTTGATTGTGACATATGAAGGTTCAAATGAAGTAAAGCAAAACAAGCTAAGCCTGCTTTCAAATATCCAGAGCATGTTTAGCAAATTTTGAACGATCTTAAATGAGTTAAGATCATTAAGTAAGGTTTATTTGAATTTTGATCTTATTGATAAAATCTTACGAAGACTCCTAGGTAGTGGAGACCACTAGATCGCTCTAAGAATCTCAAAGAATCTTGATAGTTTAAGATTAAAGGAGCTTGATGGAATCCTAAAGGTACACGAACTTGAGCTTCAGCAGGATGAAGCGTTAAAGAAAGAGAGGAATATCGCTTTGAAAGCACAAAAACCCACCAAAAGAACACCTATAAAGACATTTAGCTCTGAAAAATCCTTAAAAGAGTCAGATGTTATCCTTAAGAATGATCAATCAATCAAGCAAAGATGTAATCAGAAATTCAAAGAACTACTCCTCACCAAGTAAAGTGTTTCATTCAAGCACTCAAAAGTGTATCACTCAAGCACTCAAAAGTGTATCACTCCACTAAAAGGTGTATAGTGAGGTGTTGGTGTCTTTTTCACTCTGCTATCACAATGTCACACAAATTAACTTTGCCTTTCATTTAACCACAATCAAACATACTCACAAGCAAGTTGTCATCACAAGGGCTTTTCATGGCTTGTAACTTGGCAGGGCTAAGAAGGAAATTGGTTTTTCTGGTCAGCAAAATCCTTGAGTTAAGAGAGACATTTATGATTTCATCATTCAAGTACAAACTCTCTTTCTTTTTCCCAGCTTTCCCTTGCATTGAGCTTTTCTTTTCTTTTCATCTTTCTTTTTCTTTTTCTTTTTATTTTGCTTTTGCTTTTCAAGTACTTACTGCTTAGCTCAATGCTTTTTCTTTTTAATTTTCCCAGTAACCCCAAACTTGAACCTTAATCAATACCTCATCAAGTGTTCTCAACTTAACTCAAGGTAAAGATTTCCACAAAGAGTTTTCAAAACATTCATAAGGCTCAAGGTTCAAAGGTTAAGACAAATTGTTTTCTTTTCAGTGGACAAAAATCATGTGAAGGCTAAAACCATAAGGGGTAACAAAAGGTGACCTTGATCATATGAAGCCTGCAAGCAAGTAGTTTAATCACAGAAAATTTGGGCAAAATCATTCATGCTTCCAAAGTAATATCAATTATTCACAAAAACTCTAAGGCCCAAAACTCACATAGGTAAACTCTCAAGTCCCAAAATTCAGAAAAAAAATCCTCCTCAGTATCTCAATCAAATTTTACCTCAAGCACCTGTTTGATACTTTTTGAGCCATCACCTTTATATTATCACATCATGCATCATCTCAACATCAATCAACACACCAGAGCATCACAAAGCACTACTTATCACAAAACACAACAGTTGAACCTAAAGTAGTGTAATTTATCCAAGTAGAGTACAATAACAAAACAAACAATTAAAAAGAAAGGTTTAGAAAGCTGGGTTGCCTCCTAGTAAGCGCTTCTTTAACGTCACTAGCTTGACACCATAAAATCAATGTGGATCAACCAACTCCATAACAGTGGAAAGGCATTGCACCTCACAACCCAAATAATGCTTGAGACGTTGTCCATTGACCATCCAACTTCTTTGTGGGTCTGTAGAGGATGGATCTGTCAACTCAACTGCTCCATGTGGAAGGACATTCTTGACCATAAACGGACCAGACCACTTGGACTTCAACTTTCCAGGGAAAAGTTTTAGTCGGGAATTGAACAGCAACATGCTGTCCTGGATTGAAGATCTTTTTTATCAACTTCCTGTCATGATAAAATTTCACCTTCTCTTTGTAATTCTTATAAGAATCATAGGCATGTAATCGCATTTCCTCAAGTTCAATAATTTGCCTTCTTCTCTTTTCTATAGTGTCACCAGGATCATAATTCAAGAATTTTAAAGCCCACAGAGCTTGATGTTCCATCTCCACCGGAAGGTGACATGCCTTTCCATAGACCATTTGGAAGGGAGATAATCCAATAGTTGTCTTCAATGCAGTCTGATATGCCCAAAGAGCATCCTCTAGCTTTTAAGACTAATCCTTTCTTGATAAAGCAACTGTCTTTTCTAGAATCCTTTTTATTTCCCTATTAGATGGTGGAAAAGGTCCAACAATGTCACTAATATGTATTCATTATTGAAAGATGGTGGAAAAGGTCCAACAAAGTCTATGCCCCAACAATCAAAAACTTCAACCTCTAGGATGCCTTATAGTGGCATTTCATGACGTCTGGAGATAGTACCTGTCCTTTGACACTTGTCACAGTTCCTGTGACACCCCGGCACTGACGAGGGCGGGGAGTGATCGCCGGTGCAAGAGGCACGATGTGCATGGGGCACAAACAAGGAGCGACTCCTGGCAGGCTTCTAGTGGAAGGGACACATGGATGAATCGAGCATACACCGGAATGAGATGGATCTAGAGACTGTATAGGTATGGGACTATACAGTTGAAGGATTGCTTAAAGGGATTGATTTGGCTACTCATATCACCAAATGCATTTGCTTTTCGGTAGCCTAACCCATAAGAACTCCATGGTTAAGCGTGCTTAGCCTGGAGTAATTTAGGGATGGGTGACCTTCTAGGAAGTTTTCCTGGCAGGCTTCTAGTGGAAGGGACATGGTGATGTGTGGGGGCAGTTGATATTTTTTTAACAAATAGCATTCTCTGTTCACTGCTTTTGTTTTTTTTTTTTCACTCCTTTACTGTATTGAGTTGGTGGTTGTCATTCCCTGACTGTGCTGGGAGATCTGGTGGTGTTGTGGCATTGTTGGGCGAGAGGAAGAAGAGAGGTATGATATTCGCGGAATCCTAACCGCACTTCGAAGTGTGTTTCCTATTGGTCGCACTTCGAAGTGCGTTTTATATGTTTTTATCGCACTTTGAAGTGGGTTTCTTATATGTGCACGTTTTTCTTTCATTATGTTTTATGCTACGAATTTTATGAATTTTTATTTTAAATTTGTTGTTTATGGATTATGTTTAGTTAGTAGGCAGTGTATTATTAGTCTGGCAAAAACCTCTTTAATAATATTTAGGTTAGTAATTTTAATAATATTTTTTTAGGCTTAGTTAATTTTTAATAAGTAAATGTAGGTTAGTTAATTTTTAATAATATTTAGGTAATTAATTTTAATAATATTTAGGTTTTAGTTAATTTTTAATAATATTTAGGTTAGTAATTTTTATGTTTAAAAGATTTGAATATGGAAAGTTAAGATCCCACCAGACTCAAATATTTTTCTTGCCTGATCCAGCAAACTCAATATTATTCTCTTGCCTATCCATCAACTTAATGTCCACTTACGAGAGAAAGATACTCTATTAGTTCGGGGCTTAATTTGTAGTTTAAAAATATAAGTTTTCAATTAACATTAGGTTAAAGATTTCTTTATAGTTCATTTTATTTAAAAGTGCTTTTTAATTTTTTTTTGTTATTTAATAAATTTTTAAATTGTAATATTTATTGTAGGTCATATTTAATTATATCAGAGGATAAGTACCAATTTGATTCTGAAATAAATTCTGATTTTATATCGGAGTTTTCTATTTTTTAAAAGAAGGGGGTGAGGGGTGATTACACAGATCAATTTTCCTATCAAATATCCCAAACACGCGTCGTCGATTTAGTTAATGGGTTCGCTAAGATTGCAGTTGATCGTGGATTTGTTGTCGTCATAAAGATTCTGACACAGCAAATGTGAAAACTGGTTTAGGAAAGACATTTATTTAGTTAGGCTGTGAAAGACGAAGAGCGGGGAAGTATAGGAAGTAGAAGCCAGATGTTCCAACCTCGTAGGTCTCGGTACAAGGAAAATGTGAGTGTCGTTTAGGTTGAGGGGTTAAACCTAAAAGGACATGTTTTTGGGTTGCTAAAAGGTTAGGTGCGGCTATCACAACCCTGAAGTAGCAGAGACTTTGGTCGGTCATCCTTTCGGGGTGGTTAAATGCTTGCCTGAACAATCAATTCTTGTGGACATGACTAATAGTCAAAGTAAAGCCGTCAAATATTCTTTTTGACTCTGAAAGAACATAATGAGATAACGTGACCACGATCTAAATATTTAAAGCAAATATTATAATGCGAGGTACAGTAACAAACGATCTTTGTGAGAGGGAGGTCTAGAACTGAAAATGCATCAGTTGATGATGTTGTTAGATAGAGACAAATACATCCAGAAAGTAGAGATGTTTTGGAGATTCTGACGTGTAAGGGGACTTGTTTTGGACACATCCCGATTGTCAGCGCACTCTTAGTCACTTCGTTTTAATATGGTTTCTTAATGATCGCGGTTACAAGAGAACAAATATCGACTTCCGTGATGGAAGATTGTGGGAAAGCCACATCAACTGTTTGACATTCACAGCCTCCTTTGCATACTTTCAAGTGAACGCCAAAGTAATTTCACTTGGGCATTGGAAAGGTTCAAAGGATTATTATTGACATCAGAGGGCGGTCCACGCGTTATTATCACTAACAGAGACCTTGCTTTAATAAATGCAATTAATAATTGTCTTTCCGGGAGACTTATCAGATGCTATGTTACATTCCACATTGTGAAAAATGTTTAGAGCGAAATGCAAGATGTTAGTGGATAAGGTTGAGTCAGTGGATGTGTTGATGGAAGTGTGGCAGAATGTCATGGATTATGACGACCAGTCCATGTTTAGTGCTTATGGTCATCGTCTTCAGTATGCCTCTTCTACATGGCCTCTATTTTTTTATTATGTCAACCGCACTTGGATAATTCCGTACAAGACATACTTTGTCAAGGCGTGGACGAACAAAGTTATGCATCTAGGCACACTACAACAATAACAGGTAATTTTTTATTTCCTCGGCTTCTGTACTGATGTAATTCATATTGTTGTAATGTATTAAGGTGATAGGTGACAGGATGGAGTCTGCGCACTGGAACCTGAAGAGATTATTGGGAATATAGTAGGGGTGAGACCTATGCTGTGTTGGGATGCATGCAGAACGTCATAGTCCTAAACTAACAGGCAAGGCATCCTTTGAAAAAAGTATGAAGTAATGAGTGTGATTGCTACAAGGTTTATATATAGAAGACTGTGGGCGTTGTACGATAGTTATTGGAACTTATTGCTGATGAAATTGATCGAAGTCAATAAATAGGTATGGACAGTTGTAACAAGTTTGAAAAAAACTTTATTTCATGCTAAAAGTGATACTTTAAAATGAACCTTTTAGACTTAGAAAACTAGATTGAAATCATTGCATTGTGTTTTATATTTTCAGAAATAGAAAGAAATAAGAGAGCTGGACAGGTTTATGCTTGATTTGAGTGTTTTTGTGCAGGTTTGAGGGTGTGGGGAATTTGGTTGTTGAAAGAAGTGAAGAATGAGGAGAGGACATTAGAAACGACAAGACGAAAGAGTGCAAAAAAGAGACCCCAGTCACGGACGGCACCGCTCAGCGGCCAACTACAGCTGAGCGGCAATCAGAGGGTGGCGTTGGAACAGCGAGGGGCAAATGGCGATGTCTGATGTGAGGGAGAAGAAGGAAGCGTAACCACCGCTGAGCGGTTGTAAATGGCGCTGAGCGGCCCTCTTTTTGGGCTGGGTTTTGAACTTTGTACTCTGATAGTATCTAAGGGCTTGCAGTCTTAGTTAGAGATCGGCAGGAGAAACGAGGCAAACACTCTCTCTTTCACCCTTTGAGGAGGATCTTTA